CGACCCCAGGAACGTGATATCAACTGCCACGCATGTCCACGTCTCAAGTACGGGCACGTGAAGGTTCTAGCTAGAAAATTGCTGTCTCGGGAACGAGAAAAGCTAGAAGGTTGGAACTTCGGGGCAATGTCCCTTGCCTGGGCATGACAGAAAGATTTCAAAGCAACTGCTTAGAACGGCCCGGGACTCACGTACTGAACGCGGAAATTTTGGGGAGGAAAATTGCTAACTCAGGTATGAAAAAAGCTGAAAGGCTGGAATTTTAAGGGATTGTCCCTTGCTCATGTGCGAATAAAAGATTTCGGATTCAACTCTTCCAGTGGGGCCTTTTTCGCGCACTAGCAACCTTTCCGTTTCTCCGGTCACTGAAGCTGACATGTACAACTGACATGCCACATAGCCGCATAGTTAACTTCCTGAACTTCGAGGGCTAGTATATTACAAATTCTAGCTACTGTGATTCATTGCGATTTTGCTACAGCACGAAATAGTGCATAAATGCATAATTGCAACTGCTCGTCTGGTGCGTTCCAGCCTGGATTTCTTATGTTTATTGTATTTGTTCTGGTAAAGAAAGAGAATGCCGGTAGTGGTTTGGGTGGGGAGAGGTGAGCAAAGTAATAATATGAGAAGTGGGGTAGAAGGGTACCGTGATGAGGAGTGCTTCAGTAGAGGCAAAACTATGTAACTGTTTAACTGTGGTGTTACTGAAGTGCAAGGCTTTTTTCTCCGAGAGTGCTGTCTTTTTTGAATCTAAACATGTTAAGCACATCACCGCTATGGCCAAGCAAAGCATTTTACCATTAGCTAAGCTTTCATTCCGGCTTGTCCTCTTCGGAGCTACTTTTTCAAGTGAATTACCTCCAGCTCCTCGCTTCCTTGTTTAAATTCGGAACTTATTCTGGAGGGGTTTAGTCAGGAAAAGCTCGTTTAGATACCTTTCAATTTTTACAAGAAAGGCAAATGAGAATCTTGTTGACCAGGCATCGTTTCCTTTCCAGACGAATTTCCCTCTGGTTTCTACCTATTTCTTCAAATCATGAAGCCCTTTCATTCGTTTTTAGTCTCCGAGAAACGTGGAAGCTTCCTTCCGTTTTTTTTTTCTTTTTTTTTTTTTTTTTTTTTAAATTCCGTGACAGAGGAGTAACGCAGCCGTTTCTCATCAAGTGCGCCGAGTAGTTTTATTAATTGCTCATTTCAGGTCAAAAAATTTTTAACGGGTGATTATTCAGCGCAATCTCATATTGCTTATGCATCGGAGAACCATCTTAACTTCTGTAGTACTGCAATCCCTGAAGGAAGCAATCCGGATGTCGATATATCCCATGTGATGCGGTCTCGAGCTGACAGGGGTTTTGGTACTCCACCGGCCACTACTCTTGAAGGTACGCCACTTCATTTTTCCACTTTCAGGCATCTCCTGATGATCATACGCATAGTTTTTGCTACCAACTGTCTTGTTTTACTGGTCTCTATTTTCTCCACCTTCGTAAGACATCTGTGCATTTCAGCATATGCAGATTTTAAAAAAACGTATGGCTTGCTGAGATAAAAAGATTTCCACGTTTTCCCACCGTTCTGTTTGGCCTATTTCCATTCGAGAAAATGCAGAAATCCTACTTCTCATATCTCTGAGGTGAGGAAGACGAGGAAGTTCTGAGGAGAGGAAGGCGGGAGGGATGAAGTACAATCAGTTTTTGCACGTGTAATCAACACGCATATGTATGGTGTTGAGAAATGCAACTTCACATGTATTACTTTTTCGTTGTTTTTGTGCATAGAAAGTGGCAGGCATGGTTTGTGTATCAGTGCTGCTGCCTTCTTCATATGTATTAGTTTTCTCAGTATTTATACATTCACACTGATTCAATTGTGGTTGGTGAGCTAATAGCTCCGTTGGCTTTATCTTCAAATACATTAGCTTCAAGAGTCATATTTTTTGCATCGGCACACGCGTCTTTTTGACACGTTTTCGATGCTGGCATGTTCTTCGCAAGTATTAGCTTCCACTTCCTCTCGCGCTTACACAGTTTACTTTCTGTTTCTGCATCCCTGTATGTGTGCAATACTTTAGCATGTGCGCAGTCATGTATTGAAGTCATTAATTCGTGTCCATATGCAACAGCGGATATGAAATGGCTCTGGAAATGGATAGGATCTATGTCTAGTATTCCGGATTGGAAACCGTCCGTTTATGAAACATTGTAAGTGTGCGGTTGCAGAATTGCTCCTAAGTAACAGACGTTTTGATTTCATCTAGAAATATTCACACTGGCTTCCAGCACATATAGCTCACCTCTTCCTGTAAGCTTACAGCCGAATATGGCCAGACTGCGCTTTTTGTGCTAAAAACTCGAATTTTGCATGTGGCCTGAACCGTTTGTGCTTAAAATGGGATTGTTTGCAGATTTCCCGGAGTCATGGATATTATGCAGCATAGTTTAGATCCTGAAAAAGAAGAGCTGACCACAGAGCGAATCTTTGTTGTGGATCCGTTGCTTGGACGAACCAGAGTTGGCCGTCTTTTCCTTTTCAGTTTTTTTGACTGAACAAAAATCACAATCGTTATCTTCCTGGAAGCGAGAATATTCTGAAAAAAAAGAGAGAAAAAGCAGTTACCACCGTAAACACAAGATGCGCTTCAGTTTTGAGTTAATCTGTTCGAAAAGTCCCTTTCCTTCCTTTTTCCGCTCGTTCCTCCACTCCTTTCTAGCGAGCTAAGGTTTCCGTTTGTCTTACTGAAATGAAAGCTGACTACAGTGACAGAAAGGAGAGAGGGGAAAGGCTTAGAATCACCAAGACTCGACCGATACTGCTATTCATAACTTCTTTATCTATTTAGGCAGTTTTCAGCTTTTCCCCTTCCTTTGACTAATGCGCTGTCGCCTCCTTATCGCCCTGCTGTGATCCTGGCATTTTTTTTTTTTTTGTCTTCTGGAAGGATAAACTCGGCGATTTTCCTAAAAAAAGACCCATTTTGAACGTTGCCACTCGTAGACTATAATACCTTACTGACTTGGAGGACTCAGCGCTTAGTGGGGTATTCTTCAGAAACAATTTAGTTGTTTGCAGTTATTCAGAGGGAAAGAACGAGACCGGGTGCTTCGTATGTGTGGCTGGCCGGCCCTCTTTGATCATGTTCAGCTTGATGCATTTGTCGAAGAGAACGCCGTTCAGCGGTTTGTTCTTGAACTTACCCTTTTTGTTAGTTTCTTTTTCTGTTTTATTTTTACGTATACTAATTGGGCGCCAAGATCGCTAGCAGCCTGACCACCAGGCGGTGGGCAGTGGTCATTGCGATTAAAAAAGTTAGTGACTTTATAGGTAGTTACTACGCTGTGAATTACGGGTAATTCAAGTACCAGGGTATCTCTTGTAACGTTAGTTCACCAGATAATGAGAATGTGACTAAATGTCCCTTTCTATACGAGAGAATTTCCTTCAGATGCACTCAGAGTCGGGCTGTGGCTGCAGCATTGATAACCGCCAATTCAGCCAAAATGAAGAAGGTAAGTTTTTTTAAAAATTATAGTTTACAGCCTTTAGTTTTCGGATTTTGGTGGCTTTTTGATGCATTAAAAAACTTTAAGCGTTGTTATGAATTTCGTGCTTTATTGTCATTATTTCTTGTTAAATGAACGTTCGAGCAACCTCTGAAAATGTGACTCACTCACATCATATAGGCAGTAAATGTTAACGATTAATATGCAGCGCCGGTTGGAGGGCCTGGCGCAGCCCTCCCCCCTCCGTGCGTGTTGAAACATTCCAGTGACATCGC